TCCCTGCTTGGCAAAGCCGTGGCACGGAGCTGCCGAGCTGCCTCACCAGGGCTCTGCAGAAGGCTCTTGAGCAGCAACAAACTCCCTCTCCCAGCGCCTGCAATCTGCCTGCACCCAACGCCCAGCGCAGGGGAGCGCTCCGGGCAGCCCGGGCACAGAACAGCACCCGTCCGGCCTTTCCACCTCCATCTCCCAGCCCTTTTCCTGCCACCTTCTCACTGCAGAAGTTTCCGCCGCTGCCCCCACGGCACCTCGGGCCCCGGCTCGGGGCCACCCACCTGTGTAGCTGCTCGAGGGCAGCGAGCTGTCCCGTCCTCCGCTTGGCTCCGAGGCGCCGCTCGCCGCCGTCACTGCCTCTTCCTCTTCCTCCTCCTCTTCCCTGACCTCAGGTACTTCCTCCTGTAGTTGTTCCATAGCTGATCACCCCTCCGTGCCAACACTGCAATCCCTGTCATAGCTCTGGCATCATCCGCGTCTAGCCGAGATGGACCCTACCAGGCTGTTCCCACTAGCCTGCGGGGAAGACAAAACACACGGCAGGGTCAGCTCGAAATCCGCAGGGAAAAGCCCGGACGGGGAAGAGGGCAGGGCCGCGCACGACCTGTCCTGGCTCTAGGATGGCTCAACCTGCCCCCGGGACGGCTCAATCTGCCCCCGGGACGGTTCAACCTGCCCCCATCCCCACCAGTGTTTCTGTTCCCCGCGTTGTGAGCGGCGCCGGGCCCTGCCTTGGGCACAACGCGGCGCTGCTCCCGGGCGCAACGGGCCGCACGCTCCAGCCCGGGTCCTAATCCCGCGTTTCCTGTGGGAGGACCGGCCCCGGCCGCTCTCCTCCTGCTTCCTCTCCTTGTTTGCATTAGTCCAGCCCAAACGGGCTGCAAAGAGCCCAGGCCGCGCCGTGAGCGCCGTGGATGCGTCGCCCGCACTACGAGCCGGGCCGAGGACGGGAGCGACGAGCGCCCGGACACCGACAGGCGCTGCTGGGAAGGGCAGGGTGGGATCAAGCGCCATCCCTTCCCTTGCTCGACCCCGGCACCCGGCGCCGGGCATGGACCCGCACGTTGCTGGCACTGAACGTTGTCCTGCTGCTGGTGCCCAAGCTCCCGCTGGAGCCGGGGGCTGCCTGCACGTTCCAGGGCGCTTTGCGGTGACTCCCGGGATTCACCTCCCCTCTCCCAGCAGATCCCCATTCCCTGCGTTTGGGGCACGGGCCGCAGGCAGCTCCTCTGGATTCCCGGAGCGGGCAGAGCCGGGTGCCGGTTCCTGCAGGGCCGAGCGGGCAGGAGCCAACACGGGGACAAACCCGGGCCGCGTCCCAGGCGCCGCCGCGCCGGGGCCCGGCTTGCACGGGCCCTTTGCTGCTCCCTTCCACACCAAAAAGTCCCATTTGCAGAACAGCCCCTGGGCAGCCCTTGTGCAAGGAGCCGGGAAAAGCGCGTTGGAGGCAAATGGAAAATGTAACCGCCCCGTTTTCCTTCATGGCAGGGGCCAGCTCCAGCAAGCGCCGCGCGCTCCCCTCCGGTGCCTCCTCCGGAGACTGAGGGCCCATTGACGGGTTGTGTTATCCTTGGCCTCCTCGCGCACGGGACGCGCTGCAGTAACGAGCTGGGGCCTTCCTTCAAAGGCTGCGCGGAAGGGAACGCGCACGCATCCGGAAAACGCTCCCGGGGAAAGGTTGTGGCAGGAGAAACCTCTGTGCTGGAAAATACACCCGGCACCACCTTATCCAGCTGCTTCTTTGCTCTCCTTCACCTCCAGCATCAAGGGGCCTCCGCCATTTGTTTGAAGGCCGTGCGGAGGCCCCGCCGCGCGTGGCCGCTGCGGGAATACCAGGGAGGAACAGGGATCCGCATCCCAGCCTCCAGGAGCGGCTGGAGGGCCGCAGAGATAAAAAGCCCCCAATTTCTTGGTTTAATGTCATTGCGGGGGCTGGCCCGGGGGGAGCCGGCAGCGTCTGCACCCCTGCCTTTTCCTGAGCTGCTCCTCCTGTTTTCCAGGGGTGTTGGGAAAGGGGCCGATGAGAAGGGATTAGTTCCGAGTGGGTCTTTGGCGGTGGAAAGGTGGGATGGGGCGAGCGGCCCCGGGACGCAGGGCCCTGCTTCTGCACCAGGGGCAACGCTCAGGGAATCCAGTTCAGTGTAAGGAACAAGTCAGCGCTGAGTGGATTCAAACACGTGAAAAGGGCTCGTTTGGTTTCTTTTAGCACGGGATTCATGTGGCACGTGGAAAAGGGAAGCACTTGGGACCCTGAGCAGCTGCCCGGTCCAGAGAATCCTTCCCCCTCGGAGCATCTCCGCGTCCAGCTCCGGAGCGGGCAGAGCAATAAGGACTCCACGTCCTTCCGGGGCCACAAGCGCTCCGGGCCGGAGGAGGAGGAGAGATTCCCGCCCGGCGCCCCCGGTCCCTTCCTCTCCGCACCTGTCACCGCACAGCGATGGACAGAGAGCACGGAAACAAGGACGGCGGCCGCGAATTCCTCCGGAGCAGCCCGAAGCAGTCAGGAAAATCCATTTCCTTCCTCTTCCCGCAGGATGGGACCAAGCCGGAGGGCAGGCACCCCGTGACTGCCTCTGTCCTTGCCTCAATCCCTGTTCAAAGGAGCTTCCACAACTCTGGATGTGATACCAGGCTCCCGCGCAACCATCGGAGAGTCGTTTTATCGGCTAAAATCAGAGGGCTGAAACAGGGGCAGGGACACGGCACAACGGGGGAAGGAGAAAAGCAGGAAAAAAGGGAACACGGATGAAGGAGGAGGACGAGCGGAGCACACGGAGTGCCAGCGAGCTGGGGCTTGCAGCAAAACTGAAGTCAGAGAAACCTTCAGGTCCGAGGGGGACCCGCTGGCACGGCCGGCGAGATCGCTCCGGAGCGAGCAAGCTCCAAGGCTCATCCCAGCGCAGGAATGTCACCCACCACGGAGCAAAGCCCTTCCCGGCCTGCAGATCCCGCAGGGAAGTTCGGAGACAGCGGGAGCCGTCGAGGGAGCAGGCGGGGAGGCACCGCGGTGCGACGGGGCACGGGTTTCCTGCGGGGATCAACACGCCGCACGCGGAGCAAAGCGTCCCGAGACAGGGACGTGCCTTTCGGCACGGACACCGGGGCGCTGGCAGCCACACGCTAGGAAATAAAAGCAAGGAAGTGCTCGGAATTAGAAGGTCCTCATCTTTAAAACAGGTGTAGGTTTGCTGGTGCTGAGCCAGGCAAGAAGCAATTTCATCGTGCTCGCTGGGCGGCCAAGACTCCTCCGGCTCCCTCCACCTATTTGTTTCTAACAGATTTATAGGGATGGGAGTTGGAAGCAGCTCCCAGCCAAGTCCCCATCACACTTCTGAGCATCACAACACAAGTTTCCTCCTTGGGAAATGCAGATTTCCAAGCAAAATGCCCAAAGCTCCCAAGGGATGCGACTCGCCGAGCTGCGTCCCTCGAAGCTCTGGTTCCCTGGTCGCTGCAGCAGGAATCACAAGGAATCCTGTTTACCGGGAGCACTTCGCCGCTAATTGTGTCCAGATGAATAAAAAGGCGTTGGCCAAATTTGAGGTCAAGAAAAGCGAATCCTTCTGGGGGGAGGGAGAGGAGAACTCACCCGTCTGCACATCGGCGCCTTCCATGATCTGCGGCACACGCGGAATGCACAAAACCCCATCCATAGAAAAAAAGTGGAATCTCATCTTGTTAGCCCCTGTTTGCAGATGTCCCTTGGGTCACGTCACTCTTGGCAGTATCTGTTGATCAAGTACCTGTCTCAATTTCCCTTCCTACACGTCAGCTACTACTAATAAAACACCAAAGAAGAGCTAAGCAGATGCTGCAATACAGGAAAGGTAACTCAGTGCAAAACACAGGATAGGCAAGTGCTGAAGACGCGTTTGGGTTTGTTCTTGACACTGGCATCGATGCTCGGGGCCCGTTTCTCCCCTCAAAGGACCTGTTGACCCCTCCAAGCCAGCCCAGGCCTGGGGCTTCGTCAGCCAGATCCCTCCGCATCGTGGAGCCACTTGAATTAAAACCAGGCAGAGACCCCCGAGAGGCTGCGGGTACCTCGTGTGCTCGCCCGGTTTAGCCACGGTAGAAGCTTAGCTGCTTGGAGGTCCCTATTCCTAACGGGGACGCGGGGTAAACCCTGCGCGGCAGCAAAGCGGGAGAAGCCCAGGCCCTTCCCGAGGGCCGCTCGGAATCCCCGGAATCCCACACACCGCCGGGGCTTCCTCTGCTGCAAACCCGGCACGCGATTCCGGTGCTCCCGGCTCACCAGGGCTGCGGAGGCTCCGCTCGGCCACGGGGCACTCGCGTCCCTCGGCCTTCCCGCCAACACCGCTCCCGGGCAGGCTAAAACCTGCATTTTTATTTATTTATTTTAAACAAAGGATGAGCCCCAGAGCAGGGTGCTGCCTGGGTGATTATCATGTTGCTGCTAATTACTCAGAACCGTGTGACGGGGAGGCACGGGAGATTCCTCCGCTTGCCCTGAGCGGTCAGGCTTGCCAGAATGAATCACACTCCAGCATATGTTTTAGCTCACCCACTTCCTGGACGCAGAGAGGGGAAAAGAAGTTTAAAAGTTACGAAACTTCATTTGGATTCAACTTCAACGGGATTCTTCTCCTTTTGCACCACAACGGATGTTCCGGAGGCTCCGAACAAGCCCTCGAGGTGCTGCGAGCGCGGAGCAGGTGAAGGCCTCAACGCGACCGTCCCTCCACGCCTCCCCTTTGGGCACGGGGCTCCGTGCCCTCCTCAGCCCCTATGGAGCCGGGCTCTTCATCCCGCACCCGGGCGGCAGCCCCACGTTATCCGGATTCCTGCTCACGACCTCCAGTGACTCCTGGCAATCCCCCTGCCTCCATTTCCTCTTTTATCTGGAAAAAACCACAGGTTTTACGCCGCATCCTTCCTGATCCTCTCCTCACCACAGGAGCCCGCAGAGCCGTCCCATTTCGGGAACGCAGAGGAAGCATCGGCGCCTGACGCGCTCGTCCACCCCGCGCTCCCGATCGCGACGCCGGCGCGCTCGCCCGGGCTCGTCCCGCTGCGCGTTCCCGGGATTTCTTTCTGCAAACAACGGGGCCGGTCCCACCCCGGGAGCTGCTGACCGATATCTGTGCTCTGCTGCCAGCTCGGGGCAGCTCCCAGCGGCGGGGCAGGAGCCGAGGGTGTTTCTGACTCACTGGAACGGGGACCCGGGCCAAGAAACACGCTGGCACCAGGCAGGTGACACCGCCAGGACGCCCTGGTGTTGGCAACTGGACAGCAGCGCTGCCATTCGAGAAGATCATTAATCCCAGCAGCGAGACGGGGCCGCGCGCGCGCCGGGCCAGGGCACGCGGAGGGGCAGCCTGACCAGTCTCATGACGTTCGGAGGAACATTCCCTGCCGTCCGCGCGGCGCTGCCGGCGGGCGCCCC